TTGTTTTGTGCTGATAGAATATACTCTACTAAGTTTGTATCTAATTAGTATTGTTTGAGTTACATATTAGTTTTGTTATCTAAAGAATATTTAAATTTATATATATAAAGAGTTTGAATATATGATACTCTATATACTTTTGCTATAAACTCATAACTTTAAAAATTTTTTTATATAGGATTATTGTATTTATATATATAATTGATAATTTAGTTTTTTGCTTTAATAGTCTAAAAAATAGTTAATGTATTGTATCAGTCTAATTTCTAAACCTTTATTCTTGTTTCTTTTAGTATTAGACTAGAAGCTTCTATATCCTCTATTCGCTATGTTAAACTATTCTTCTTCTTTTTTATATATATTAGTTTTAATAATTCCTATTAAGTTAAATTGTCTTTCCTTATAGTGCTTAACTAACTACTCTAATTTTAAGCAATCTCGCTTTAGTTTATTTATATTGTATATTTCTATTTTAATTTTTTCATTCTATTTGCTTTTTGTTATCATATTTACATCTTTTTTTATGTCTATTTTGTACTTATTTGTTTCTTTGTTATTTTTTTAGTTTATACAATTATATATCTTTTTTGTATGCTCAAGTTTTTTTCTTGATCTATACAGGCTTTTTGTACTCTGATCTTTAACCTAATTACTACAGTAATTCATACTCTAATAATAACTATAGATCGAATAATAAAAGGAACAATAATTATTATTATAATCACTCTAGATCTTGAAAAAGAAATAGATCACATAATAACAATAGATACTATAACAATTCTAGATATAGAAGTAAGGATATTAAGTTAGCTAGACTGCTATTAGGCAAAGATCTAAAAAACTTTACAAATAGCAAAAATCTAAATATCTTTATAACAGATTAGCTATTAAAAGAAGAAAAAAACAAGTTACTCTCTTAGAATTAAATAAAATTAATATAAATATATGAAGTAAAAGATTATAAACCAAACTAGTTTAAATTAATTGAAAGAAAAGTACTTACAAATCATAGCTCAAAAGATATTACTAAGGACTTTAAAATTTAAAGAAATATTTAAGTTAAGTAGACAGAAATAAGTATAGATAAAAAAAGAAAGAATAGATAATTCTGAAAGAAAGAAATATTTTGATAGTTAGAAAAATAGTTAGAAAGACTAAAGAAAGATTTATATTAGTATATTAGAAATTTATAGATTTAAGAAATATATTTCAAACAGGTATAGCAAAATATGAAAAATATAGTTTTAGTAAAAAAAAAACAATATAAATTATTTGATTAGCAAACTAGTGAATAAGTAGTACTAAGTTATTAGCAAATAGCAAAAGATAAAGCAGGTTTAGTTGTTTTAAAACTACTACTTTTAGTTTATTTGAATAAATCAAACTATACTTAAAAGAAAAACTAGTAATCTAGAATAGTATTTAAATAAAGATACTTAATATAAAAGAAGTAATTAAGGTCTGGTGATCTAGTATAGTAAATAGGTTGTCAGATTACTATATAATAGGTTTGAAGTTCAAATCCTACTGTTAACAATTTAAATAATTTTTTAAACCTTGTATCTAACTTACAGTAAACTTTACTTATTTCTCAGAGTTATAATTCTGTAAATCATATTGCACTAATATTAATTAGATATTGAAAGTGTAATGAAATATTTGAGTTGCATTATACAAATAAATTAAGATAGAATCTATGAGCAGAAGACCTGCATAGTAGAAATCTTGAGTTAGATAAAGTAGTACAGATTTCAATAATCATACTAGTTAATACTTAATCTTGTAAAGAAGTCTAGATATGAAGAATACAGATTGAGTAGGTACAAGTAAATCTGTTACATAAGGTCATATAGCAATACTAACTTGGCTTAGTAGCTAATTAAATTGAGAGGATCTACCTCATAAAACATTCAGAAGAACTAGAGGTCTAATCTAGTAGAGAGCTACAGTAGAAACTGAGTTTATACAAACATCAAATAAAAGTATATGCAAGCTAAATTGAGATATAGCATAGTATAGTTAGATATCATATACCTATATATTAGGAAATATTGAAGTAAGCCTTATCTGAATAAGACCTAAACTTATGATAGTAAAGTTTGTAACTAATATCAGCTTGTATACCTTCTAAAGTAAAGTAGTATAAAGTTAAAGGTTAACTTAAAATTATAATAAATTTGGAAATGACATTGTATTAGAGAGTTTAAATAGATAATCTTCTAATAGATTTCAGATATAATAGCTAGTGTAAAACCTTCAAGTAGACAACTTAAATTAGACAATCTAAAATTATATATATGACTAGTTGTACTCTCACAATATGTATCATGTTTCTAATATAAAAACTAATAAAAGTTTAGCTAATAGTATTTGTATAAAGTAAAAAAAAAAGTAATTATATAAAGAGTAATTAAAAACAAGAATATACAAAAAGATCTGATAAGAATAGTAAAAAAGCTAAAAGGAAAAAAAGTATTAAATATTTATATTAATAGATTATTAGCAAGTAAAGAAATAGAAAATAAAAAATAAAAGAAAATAGAAAAAGATTAAATAATAGCTAATAAAAATAACAATAGTTTAAATGTAATACTAATGAAATTAAAATTCTATTTAAATAAGAGAGTAATTTAGTCAACTGCTCAATAAGAATATTTATAAATATTATAATAGTAATAACTAATAAAACAGAATATGCAAAATTAAATAATACAAGTAAGCTAGCTAGCTTATTACAGATCTATTTTTTGATTCTAGCTTAGATCCTCTCAGGATACTTATTGCTCAATATATTGTGAGCTTACAGAGCTCCAGTTAACCTTGAAGCAAACCTACTAGAGTAGTCTGTATCTATTTCATAAATTCATCTAGCTTAGACTCTTGTAGATATTCATACAATCTGAGTTTCTACTGTAGCTCTCTACTAGTTTTTTTGATTGCTAATCTCTTCAGATATTTTATGAAGTAGATCTTCCTAATTCAGTTAGCTGCTAAGCCAGATTAGTATTGCTAATTTTTTTTGTGAAGAGACTTACTCATATCTCTCTCAATTTATATTTTCAGAGAACAGTTTCTTTTTTAGATCAAGTATTAGCTAGTGTAACTGTTAAAAGCTATATTATTTCACTAACTTAGGATTTCTACCATGCAGGTCCTCTGCTTATAGATCTTATTAAAATTTATTCATATAATATTACATCTTTCTAAATGCCTCGTTATACTTCTAATATCCAAATAATATTAGTGCAATATGATTTATAGGGTTACAATTCTAAAAACAAATAAGGTTTACCATAAATTAAGTACAAAGATCTGAGTAATTATTTAAATTCGTTGACAGTAGGATTTGAACTCCAGACTTCTTGTATAATAGTCTGGCAATCTAACCACTATACTAAGATTACTAGATCTAATTATTAATTTTATAAACTTGCTATATAAGTATATTTTATATAAAAAATTACTGAATTTTTTATATTTACAAGTATTTATTTATAAATATTCTGAGAAATTTTCTTTTTTTTTGTTATTAAGACTCTTTTTTAGCTGATTAGATTTTATTAATTTATTATTACAGAGCTATCACATGAATAGTCTTCTAAAGTTTTACAGTTATATAATGAGTATATAACAAACTACATATATAACTTTAGTTATTTTCTAATTTAAATAGTCTGCTATACAGACAATTGACTATCTGTTAGTTCTACACTATACTGCTATACCTGCAATCTATCTGTGAGTTATTTATTTAAATACTCTGATCATTAATTCTTTCTCTTATTTCAAACTAATGTTACTACTATATCTAACTACTTAAACTAGCTAACTTATATAGATCCATTTACTGCATATCTTAAGTCTTCTCAGAATATGTATTGTCTAATATATTGTAAATATACAGAGTTCTAGTTAATCTCAGAAGTAATTTCTAATAAAGTAGTTATATGTCTATTTCACAAATTCACCTAAATTAGACTCTTATCAATGTTCATACAAACTTAGTTTTTGTTATAGCTTTTCACCAAATATAGTTTTCCAAGTTTCATCTAGATGTTTCATAAGATAGATCCTTCTAATCTAATTAGCACTAAGCTAAGTTGGTCTTATTGCTAATACAAGGTACTAGACTATATTACATAGTAGACTTACTCATACCTACTTGATTTATATCTTTTGTACTTAAGTTTTTTATTAGATCAAGTATTAACTAGCTTAATCATCAAAATTCATACTATTTTATCAAACTTGAGATTTCTACTATGCAGATTTTCTGTTCATAAATTCTATCAAGATTTATTCATATAATATAACTTGAATATTGCATCATACTTCTAATATTTGATTGATTTAGTACAATGTATTTACAGAGTTATAACTTCTAAAAACTAACAGAGTTTTCTATAAGTTAGATATAAAGGTCTAAGTAATTATTCAAATTCATTAACAGTAGGATTTGAACTTTAGACCTTTGCATGGCAGTTTAGCAATCTAATCACTATACTAAAATTATCAGACTACGAAATTTTTTTTTAAATTTTAAAAAAAATTTATTTTATATATAAAATAAGAGAATAACTACAGTTACCAGAGGTAAAATTACCAGAAGTGGTTACACATTAATAATTTTTATGCAAATGTGATTTTATTTTGACAGATATAGGTAATCGGAGATTTAAATTAAATAAATAAATAAAGGTTCAATTAGGACAAAAGTGAATCTTTTTTTGTTCACTGATTTAATATTATTGAATGATTATATCTCGTTAAACTGCTAGAATATCGTTAAATTCTCAACGCTAGTAATACAGGTATGTTGAAAGTAAATATGGAGTAAAAAAAAATGAAAAATAAAGCAGGTACTAATAGACATGTCTTTAATATATTTATAGTTCACGTTTTAATTTTTATAGTCTTTTTTTATCTCTCAGAACATATCAACTACACAAGTACCAATTCAATTATCAACTATGGAAATACCAAATACAGAAGCTTCAGTTATGGAATTATATGATGATATTGAACTCATTAATGTCACAATTAACGAAGCAATAAATGAAGAGTCGAACAAGTCACTTTATGAAGTACTAATTGAGGATGACATAAGTCAGGACCCTATATATGATACAGATACAGACTCTTCATCTGAAGAATCAGATATTTCTTCACTTAAGATAACCTTAGGTAAGCCTTTATATTTTTTGTATATCAAATTAAAATTTGCATCAAGCAAAATTTAGATACTAAGTTTTATTAGGGTTAGAGTAGAGACCTATGTTAGGGTAGATAAGTCACTTTAGCTAAATAATTTGATGTTTATTTAAATATTTTAGGGTAGTCTTTTCATACTTGGGATGATACTGAAAATTTCCTAAATGCATATGGATTAAAAAAAGATTTTAGTATCCAGAAAAAACAAACTGAAACTCAACAAGAAAATAATAATCAAATTTTAACTAGGGTTAGTTGGGAGTGTGGTTGCTTTGGTAAGTATCAAACAAAAAAAGTATTGAATCCGAATAATCAAAGAAATTGAAAATCAAAGGCAACACATTGTCAATAGAGGGTTAATGGAAACTTTTCAAAGAGTACATCAATGATTCATTTTACAACTATTGTGGATGAACATAATTACTCAATGATTCCTTCACCTGCAACTAATATAGCAAAATATCGTAAGCTTAGTAATAAAATAGTAGAGTTTATTGAGTTCTGTATATATCATAGTGTAACTAGCACCAAAAGTATTAAAAGTCTTTTAAAAGGAAAGTTTTCAGGAAAAAAGATTTATCAAAAAGCACTTTATAATACAATTTAAGCAGCCAAAAAAAATTTAGTAACACGAGTTGAATATGACGCCTCAGATCTTATGAAATATCTATATTCAAGACAAACTGAAGACACTTATTGGTTTGTAAAGGCAAGGTTTGAAAAAGATGAATGTCGATTGTGTAGATTAGTATAGTTGTCACCTGAACAACAAATTTTATGGACCTATTATCATGATGTTCTTTTCTTTGACACAACGTCTCGTACTAATAAGTATAACATGATAGCCTGTTTTTTTGTTGTCATTAATAATTGTAATCGAACATGACTTGTTGCAACTGCATTACTTGAAGATGAGACAGAAAGTAGTTTTATTTGAGTATTAAGGATGATTAAAAAATGTGTAGAAAGTCAGGAACCAAATGTCGTATTCACTGATTCAGATCCAGCGATGATTAGTATAATAAACTTGGAATTTTCATATTCAATTCATTGTTTATATATATTCTACATTGATCTTAACTTAAAAAAAAACTTTAGAAATAAGCTAAGCTCAACAGATTTTAAAGAGTTTCATGCTGCTTTTTTTAAGTGTAGGAATATATTAGTTCTAAGTGTCTTTGAAAGCCAATAAGAAAATTTAAAAGTAAAATATCCATTAGTGAATAGTTATATTAAACGACAACTAGATCTATTTAAGCATAAGTGGGCTATCTGTAATACAAATAATCAGTTTACAGGTAGTGCAAGTAGTACTCAATGAGTTGAAAGTCTTAATCGTAAAATTCATGATTATGTTCGGTCAAATTCATCACTTTTAGAATTAACAAGAGAAATTCAGGAATTACTCAATAAAGAAGCAGAATATGTGAGAGTTGAGGAGTATAATGAACAAATCCCTATAATCGGTCTTCTAACTATTTCAAAAACCTATTTTAGCACTATTGAAAAGGTTGTTTTGCAATATCTTTTACCAGCTATGGCAATTGTTGTATGCAAACAAATGCAAGAATGTTTTTACTATGATTGTTTTCGAATAAATAGTGTAGCTATTAATTTTATAATGCAGGTTAGGTATTAATTTTATAGTTTATATAAATTACATGATTGTTTTGTTTTTATTAAGAAACAATATAATTCAAGATTCTATTTTAAGCTGTGTAAAGAATCTATAACATGCAATTTACTGTAATTCTACGTATACTAAACTATTTTTCTTGTTTAATAGGAACAAGTAAATATTAATTATATTGAGGGAGCACTAGAAGATAATTATAATATTACAAAAATATATCTCGCTGATATTATATCGACAATTAGACAAGATCAAATTATAGAAATTTGGAGAGTAGTTATATCCTGTGAATCAAAAAATAACTATGTTTTATTATTAGAAGATAGGTTCTATCGATGCACGTGTAATATTATTATAACTCATGGATACTCATGCCGATATTTTTATAAGGTTTTACATTGTTCTCCTCAGGCTAAATGGCATATTAGACTTATTGTTACACGTTGGTATAAAGACAATTTGGTTGATAATATTTGGCAGAAATCTCCAATTATTATACAGTCAACCCTGGCTATAATCACACTCTTGGGACCATAAAAATATGTGATTATAACAAGGGTGTGATAATAAAA